CTGAGGAGGGGAGGCTAAAGGAAGGAATAAGGGGCGGAATAGACAGAAAACGGGAGGTGGGCTGAGGAGGGGAGGCTAAAGGAAGGAATAAGGGGCGGGAATAGACAGAAAACGGGAGGTGGGCTGAGGAGGGGAGGCTAAAGGAAGGAATAAGGGGCGGGAATACACAGAAAACGGGAGGTGGGCTGAGGAGGGGAGGCTAAAGGAAGGAATAAGGGGCGGGAATACACAGAAAACGGGAGGTGGGCTGAGGAGGGGAGGCTAATCAAAGGGACAGGAATAAATTAGAAACGGCGGGTAGGGGGGGGGATGGGGGGTTGTGGGGTCGTTGATTTTACCCGTGATGCTGCACGTCGAAGGGTCCTCGTCTGAGCCGTCGAGGCAGTCGGGGAAAGTGTCACAGACTTGCGCGATATCGAGACACACTGAATTCTCGTCGCACGCAAACTCACTCGCTCTACAGCCTGACGAGAGAGAAGGGCGAAAAGGGGGAAGAGGCGTTAGGGAATGAGAGAAAACACGAGACACAGAGAGAGAGATATTCGGTTTTGCTCTTCCTCGGTCTTCTCTCTCTCTCTCTCTCCTCCTGTAATTGTTATTTTCTCTCTAGAGTAGTGGGTTTATGGTGTGTGTTTTTTTTATCATTTCTTTAAGTGGTAATGGCGGAGAAGACGTTTGTTTGTCTTCCCGTCTTTTCGTTTCTGTTTACGTTGTATTATTGTTTTTTATATGTTAGGATGGTTAGTTCACATCAAACAAATGGTGCAAACAAAAACACAGTCTTAACCAGGTACAGCATAAAATTTTCCACAGCTACAGCATAAAATTTTCCACAGCTGCTAACTGGTCCTTATCCTAATATATTTAGTTAAGACCAAAAAGTAACTCTTTTTAGATTGTCATTAACCATCTAACACTCACTTTCTCCCATGCTACATAATCCTTATAAATTACCATGCAAAGTTTGTGTGTTTTATGGTGCAGATGTCACCGACCATCACCCACTACGTTAATTTAAAGGTACAGTGTCGAATTGAATCATGTTAGTCTCCGAATCGCCTAAAGTTCAAAATCGCTTGTGGTAGGATCTAGGGTCGAGTTGTAGGGTACAGAGGAGGTTGGTCGACTGTCGTAAGGAAATTAGAATAGAACCTCAGTCTGCTTTCCTGCTCTAAGGCAGGAAGATTGCGAATGAACAAACACGCCAAACAGTTCATTCGCCGTTTCAAAAGATACCGAAAAACACACCCGAAATACGTGTTAGTATCCAGCGATTGCAAAGGGCGGTCATGAAAAGGGAAGACGAAATAAAAAAGCCAAAAAGGCGGGGAAATGCCAGCTGAAACCATGAAGCAGCACAACAATAGCGAGAATACTGAATGGGGGACGTATTTACCGCTGGCGCCGCACTCGGCCTCGTCTTCTCCTCGGGGACATTCCCTCACGCCGTCACAGAAGCAGGCGTAGGTCGTGCCGTCGTCACACGTCCTGGGTCCCTGGTCGTCCGAGCGACACGTTGGTCGTGCTAAGGATAGTGTTCGTTCATTTTCTTAATTTGAACCGAGAGCTTTACCTTCCATTTGCTTTACATCGCTATATACACACTTTTTTTCAAACATCGCAAACGCAAACTCCTTCTTTTTATGTCATCAAGGATAATAGAATACAAGGTTTGTTCAGGCTATTTCAAAATTGGTTATCTACAGCGCTCTTGGGTTGTGACGTCACAGTCACTGATTCGAGTCGAAGCACTATAATAAATTCACTGGTTATCTATCAAACAATCTTGTATTCTCTTAACCTTGGTCATAAGCCTCCTAGCTTTTTTATCTAACGTATGAATGCCGATGGAAAGTACCTTTAATCTAACGTAATATTTTGCATATGTATCAAACAATCTTGTATTCTCTTAACCTTGGTCATAAGCCTCCCTAGCTTTTTATCAATACTGTCACACCAATTTGCATACTTTTTCATTCCCATGCACACTCATTTCAACTCATATTTCAAGAAAAAGAATCCACCATGAATTACATTCGAGCCGAGCGTGCGGTGTTAAGGGTATCATGTACTGAATGTTGAATGCGAAATGTGTGAAAAGAATTGACTATTTTCTAAATACAATCAAATACACACATGAAGACTCATGCATATCTATCTATCTATCTATACTATATATATATGTATACTATCTATATATATATATATATATATATATTATATATATATATATATATATATATATATATATATATATATATATATATATATATATATATGGATAGATACACACACACGCCTATTTGTAGGATCTCTAAAACCCTTCACATTTCGATACATCGTCATACATTAATGAACCCGTTAAAATATCTTTTCCTTTTGTTATCCTCTACGTTCGTGCAAATGCTCATATTCAGACCCTTCGGACACCTTGTTGATATATATATATATATATATATATATATATATATATATATATATATATATATATATATATATATATATATATATAACATATATATATATACATATATATATATATATATTATACATATATATATATATATATATATATATATATATATATATATATATATATATATATATATATATATATATATATATATATATATATATATATATATATATATATATATTGATATTCCGATAAAAGTACCCGCCCAAAGCCCGCAGAGTCGAGTGAAAGGGGCAGCAAACCCACAAGCGAGGGGGGGGCACAGACTCTAACAGGATGACCGAGTTCTGAGAAGGAGTTAGTCTCGCAAACACTACACTTCGCGCCGCCCTTCCGAAGAGGGAGGGCGCGAAGGGGGCCAAAGGAGGGAGGGGGGGGGGGTCGCAAGCTCTACCGACCGGGTGTCACGAAGCACTTGGCCGGGTCTTCGTCAGCGTTGTCGAAGCAATCCTGGACGCCGTCGCACACTTGGCTGCTCTCGATGCACTGCGTGTCGTCGTCACAGGAGAATTGGTCCTGTCTGCACCCTGGCGAGAGAGGCGGGGCCGAAGGGGCAGCATGGCGTTAGGTTATGCCTAGAGGGACATCCTCGCTCTCTCGATCTTTTTTATCTTTATTTTTGGGGGGCTTTTCGTCCTTTTTTCGTCTCAACGACTCGCTACAAAGACTAGGCCGCAGTTTCGCTTTCACGAGGAAGAGCAGTTGTTCAGTTTTTTAAATTACAGTTTGGAATCTTAAAACTTATGTATATAGCAAAAATATGTTGTAAAATATATATCATGTGTGTAATAATGGGTTACTCCTTAGTATGTATTGTTAGTTGAAAAAGAAAAGGTTGCATTACTGAAAGTTCAAATCTTATCAAAGAAAATGGGCGATGTCCAAATGTCGGTTGGTTTAAGACGAGGAACTTCACAAGAATCATCGGAGAAATATTGTAAACTATAATTCAATTTCCAACTTAGAGACTGGAATATTGTTTTTGTATCAATATGTGGAGTCATTTCTCACGATAATCTGAGCTGAAGTTGAAGTCGAGAGACAGTGACATAACTTTCATATCTGGCATTAACCATTTAACACTCAGTTTATCTTGTATCTCATTCTGTTTAATCCTCATATATTAGCATGCAAAGTTTTTGTTAGTATGGTGTGTAGATGTCACCGACCATCAGCCACTACGTAAATTTAAAGTTAAAGTTACAATGTCAAACTGAATCATGTTAGGCTCCGAATCGCTTCTACTACCAACTGCACCAAAAAGAACGTTACACAGGTCGCTTGTAGCAGTTTCAAGAGACGGGTTGCAGGGCAGACAGAGGAGTTTGGCAAGTGTCGTAGGGGAAATACAACAGAATCTCAGTGTGCTATCTCACTTTAAGGCTGGAAGAATGCGAATGAACAAACACGCCAAACAGTTCATTCGCCGTTTCAAAAGATACCGAAAAAACACACCCGAAATACGTGTTAGTATCCAGCGATTGCAAAGGGCGGTCATGAAAAGGGAAGACGAAATAAAAAAGCCAAAAAGGCGGGGAAATGCCAGCTGAAACCATGAAGCAGCACAACAATAGTGAGAATACGGAATGGGGGACGTATTTACCGCTGGCGCCGCACTCGGCCTCGTCTTCTCCTCGGGGACATTCCCTCACGCCGTCACAGAAGCAGGCGTAGGTCGTGCCGTCGTCACACGTCCTGGGTCCCTGGTCGTCCGAGCGACACGTTGGTCGTGCTAAGGATAGTGTTCGTTCATTTTCTTAACTTGAACCGAGGGCTTTACCTTCCATTTGCTTTACATCGCTATATACACACTTTTTTTTTCAAACAACGCCAACGCAAACTCCTTTTTATTTCAAGGCCAATAGATTACAAGGTCTGTTCAGGCTATTTCAAAATTGGTTATCTACAGCGCTCTTGGGTTGTGACGTCACAAGCATTGACTCGAGCCTCAGGTACTAATAAATTCACTCTGTACATAGAGTAATTGCGATCTTTCTGCATTTAGGTTTTATTTCTTAACCCTTACGAATGATTAATTATGAAAATCATCTTTAAGCTAATGTAATACTTTACGTCTGTATCTAACAACTCTACTGCTGCTGACGTCATCATTTGCGAATTGAGTTGGGGGAATAACCTTGCATTCTCTTGACCTTGATCACAGGACTTCCCGGCACTTTATTAATACTGTAACATCAAATTGCATACTTCTTTTCGTTCCCTTGCACACTCATTCGAAACAAGAAAAGGAATCCTACATGATTTGCGTTTCAGTCTAGTGTTCATTTTTATGGGCATCATGTACTGAATGTTGAATGAGAAATGTGTTTAAAAAGTAGACAATCATTCTCTAAATATATTCAAATGTACACAGGAACACAAATGCATATCTATCTGCACACACACACACATATAATATATATATATATATATATAATATATATATATATAATATATACCATATATATAATATATATAATATATATATATATATATATATATAATATATATATATATAATATAA